ATTTTCCGAGGTAGATTTGTAGGATTTTTAATGAAAATCTGGCAGCGGATGCATGGTTATATAAATATTTTGCGAACCTGAAGAAGTATTTATTATCAGCAAGATGGTTGCCCCGCTCACCATTCAAGGATTGAAAGTGAGCTTTTAAATGAAGAGTTTGGACAATGTCGGATTGGAACTAGAGGCCTCATTCTGTGACCAGCGAGATCGTGTGATCTAACTGCTCTAGATTTTTTTTATGGGGGAGATTAAAAGATATTATATTTAAAGATATAATTATCCAAACAAAGGCAGAGTTCAAAAAAACCACTCGAAAAACGTTTGCTTCCATCAATCCTATTAATGAATAGTGGCCATTCAATACGAAAAATATGCGTTAGGTGTACTGAAGAGGGCGGCGTTCAACTTAAATATTTACGTTAAAATATTTCAATGTAATTAATGTAAAAGGTTAAATTATAATATTTTGTATTCTAATATTAATTGTATTTAATTCAATAGGTTAAATTAAATACAATTTTGTTTTCTAAATAAACAAATTAAAAATAATATCTAAAATTAAAATTAAAATATTTGTTGGTTCTTAAGTTTAAGTATATGTAGTGTGGTGTAATTAATAATATATTATGCAACAAGTGTGGTAGAAGGCATTTGAGTCACGAGTTTATTTCGAACGAGCGGAGCGAGTGTTTAATAAACGAAATAATAAAATTAATAAAAGAATCCCAAATTTTCATATATAAAAAACTTATGGGCAACTTTCAAAAGGGCCGAAAAATGGAAAAACCGTTTGTATCTCGGTTGATAGTGAAGATATCGCCATTGCTCTATCTAGTTCAGAAATAGGTTTCTCCCCTTAAAACATTCCGAAAGATGTCGTATATATTGCAAAAAAAGTTAAAGCCCCTAAAAAATATATTCAAACTACTGAAAATAATTTAAACAATGGTAATAAAAGTTTTTGCCCTTCTTTAGAGTCCGAAGTAACAGTGCCCTTAATAGACAAAAACACTTTCACTCTTATAATGAGAATTTCCATAATGATCGCTCGCAATAACTGAAGTCTAGAAGGCAGTGTTTTGATATTTTTTTTAATAAGGTTCAAAGTTTTGATTGAACTACATTCACTTCAGTGCTGGTCTTCATACTCTTCCAACATTTTGAGTATTCATTAGCTTTGTTATTTGCCCTTAGCAATATTTTTTTTATATTACAGTTATGTTAGACACGTTACAATTCTGTAATTATTTTTATTGTGTCTAATTCGTGTTTGTCTGCTCCAAGCCGTTTGTTGAGTAACTTTGCTTGTATAAATAAATAAATAAACAATTATAGCCAAAGACATTCTTACGACGGAGATTGAATTCAAATTGTGTGACAGTCTAATATGATTGAACTAAAGGATGTCTGTAGAAACTATAAAATTGTTGTTACAGTAATAATTTCAGGAAATATATTTCTGATTATTTGAAATAATCTAAGTGGATAAATATCTCTGAAAGATATCAATCCCACCTTGCAAATTTTGAATTGAAATCTGCAGAACCGTTAAACTTATTTACCAAATTGATAAACGGATAAAACTAAATAAAACCGACAGTACCCGATTCCTAAGCACAACATGATATTCCTGCTAGTGTTAAAGTACGTCATCTACCATTTCTTGATTAGATATGTCCATATATTAATTTACGATGTTTATAACAACAAATAAAACACCAAGTGCCTTTATTTACGGTGTGATATGTCCCCTCAACCTTTTGGATTGAATAGAATTAGATTAAATTTTTTGTGTTTTAAGTTCTGAATATACAAGGTGTACAGTAACTAACTCTTCATAATTTTAACTCTAAAATGGCAAAAGCACAAATCTTTGGTGGGATCAGTTAATGATTATGGCAAATTAGATACATATTATACACTTCACAGTTTTGATTTTAAACTATATTCCAGCTTCATATGTTCTGATAAAATTATTATTCTTCGCTGGTTACTCTTAGTAGACTCTTACTCACAGTAGAGCATATTATAAAGTAAGAAGTCAAGTTCAGCAACAGCAAATTTCAAACCAACTTTAAGTTACGGTGTTAAGAATTATTTGGGTTACAATTTTGAGAGGACGCCCTGTATAATATTACAAATTTTTCGTGTGGACGTAATGGCTGTCTATCTTCGTCGACGGAACGGAAGTACTCATGCGATGGCGGCGGTACCGTGGGTTGCATTTGCCGGCCTTAACTTGCCTTATTTAACCAAAAAATGGGGGCGTGGTCCGCGATAGGGGCCGTGGGATTGGCGGCCGTACCGTTTTCGCAAGCGCGAATACGATTAACGGCAATTAAATCGTAAGATTTCGGTCGAAAATAAAGAGATAGATTAAAACGAAGGTTCTTTTGCTGAATTACGCATAAAGATTTCATTTTCCAATAAAAAATGGTTTATGTTTTCACGATGACTAGAAAAAAGTTTAGAACACTTTTCCGAAGCTTTGTATTTAAATTTGAGATAAAAAAATCTTTTTCTACTCCCGTCTGTAAAATATCTAATTATACACAGATCTAGCGTGCGGGAAGCGTCACTTTAGCACTTCAGTTTCATTTCCCACAGACCCGAGCTACTTAGGGCATTTCCGGGATTTTACCGCACGGTTTGAATTTTGACGTTTGCCAATTCAGACGGTAATGTCAGAATGTATTCGTATATCCAAAGTATCCAAAAACTAATACACAGAAAAATATTATGCAATAGTTCAGACAATTGCCCAAACAATGTAATTCCGTGTGGTAGGTCTTTTTTTTTACTTTATTTCCTCACATAAATAATTTAAAATTTTTTACAGTTTCTCAAACCGTACATTGACCTCTGGCATGAAGAATATAACACTTATGTGATATTGGCAAAGAACATTAGTAACATAATAAATAATTGTCAATCTTAAAGTAAAAAAATATTCTTTTAGATGTTTAAAAAAATATATTGTAACTTTTCGCACTTCTTTAACATATAGTGAACTAAATGTCGTCGACGCATTTACGATGGGATCATACATGTTGTTTTCTAATTGAATGTCAATAATTTTGTATGTATGTATAATTATACAATACCTTTAAAATTTTGTAGTGTAAGGATTGTAATTTATTGATATATGTTTCGGTACGCATTTCCCATATAGGTATTAAATATCTGTGTGATAAATAAAAAGAATAGTAGATCATTGATTTTGTTTTATTAGTTAAATAATTCCTATACTTGAACAAAAATGAGATCATAGATGGAATTGAATTGGTGATTTTTTCTATATGTTCGCAAGGATTTATCATTATTCCTAGATATTTAAATTTAGTAACTTAACTTAACTTTTTTTTGCGTAAAAATCATATATTTTGTTTTGCTAATATTAATATTTAATTTGTTTCAATACAGCCAATCAACATGTTTCTGTTGGTCGCTATTGATCCTTTTGCACATCTCATTTTCACAATTTCCAACATATACTGGAGCAGTATCATCTGCAAAAGTTTAATAACGTGCTTAAAGTTCAGTATTTTTTAATTAAGTGCGGAGTAAAACAGGGGTCCAATGGCAGAGCCCTGTGGAACACCATACAGATTGGATTTTAGCTGACTATGTATGTTGTTTACTTTAACGTGTTGAGATTTATCTTGAAAAAAATATCAAACATCAAAAGTTTTTTTTTAAATCAACATATACAGCCGCAACGATCATTTTATCATCAAGAGCCTTAGAGATGCTATTAACAAAGTCGACAGTTGCACCTAGAGTACCACTATTTTTCAGGAACTGATACTCATCCATACCAATAGTATTATTTTTTATGATTTAACACATGTTTTGGAGAATATGTTTAAGACAGATATTGGTGTGTAGCTATCCAAGCCGCTCTCTTGGATATCATTTTGCTAATTTTTAACTCTTCTGGAAAAATGCCACTTGCGAAAACACTATTTATTGCGCACACGTTTAGCTATTGAATTTTTTGTAGACAACCCTATATCAACGTGTGTGCAATAAAACAGCGCTTCTGTTGACATAAACTTTTTCTATTATCATGTCAAGTGAAAGTAACTGGCATCGACATACCTGGTTATACCTGTCAACCCAGTAGTTCCTCCAGGTAAATAATAGGCAACCCGAAGGCTGCACATTCTGTATATATTGTACTTTAAGTCGGCGAAAAAATTTCTTATTATCTTGAAATGGCAAAATTAAATAAAAATCTTTCTTTTTTTATATTTAAAAATAGTCTGTCCAGGATTTTAATAGACAACCCATTTTTAAAATTTCTAATATATCAAATTTATTATAAAATATGTTTCACTTTAAGTAGGAGAAGAAAATTTTTTATTATCTCGAAGTTACAAAATTTAATAAAAAATCTTTTTTTATACTTAAAAATAGTCTGTTCAGGGTTTTTATAGACTACACATTTTTAATATATTTTTTTAATAAACTTAATTTATTTTAAAATATGTTTCATTTTATTGTCAGCTCCGTTAAGGGCGATTTAGGTGCGGATCTTAGACTAAAACGTTTTAGTTGATTACTCATTTTTTGAAAGAGCCTTGAAGATATTATCGACCAGGTTATCACTTTAAATACCCCACCATGCGACATCGGGTCGCCTATGACGTCGAAATGCTTATTGGATATGTTGAGTATTACTGAGTATTTCACATCGGTGAAAATAGAACAACGTACAATTTCTTATTCGTAGGTGGATGAAAGAGAGATCCGACCGTTATCTATGTGGAGCAGATCAGAATAACGACGAAAAGAGAAATGTCACACCGCCGGTAGACGTGAGTCACGTTACCCACGATCATATGCCGCTACAGATTGATCGATTAATTTGTTATTAATCCGAGGAGATCAACCTTGACGCAAGCAGCAACCGTTGGGAACGCCCGCGACACGACACTCTGTATAAGGTCGGTTTCCGAAGCCACCACCAATTTATCCAATAAAAAACTGAAACAAACCCTTTGTCGTCCCCGCTGATGCACGCCGCGAACGTAGCCATAGTTTCAAGATGGCGGTTTCATGGCCCTCTGCAAGACAAAATATAAGGTTTACACACCCTGTACGAAAACAGCGAAATCCTAAACGCGTCAGTCGATTCCCGCTTGCCAACTGCCAAGTCACATCAGTTAACATGAAACAAACAAGCAAAAGAAAATAACGGAGTTAAAATGATTACGTATGGCAACAAATTAAATGTTAAATAACACTCTTCTTATTTAAATATATTGTTGGCAAAACAGGCGAAAAGATAATTCAAATCACAAAAGAAAACGGTTTAACGAATTATTTAGCATGAAACAATCAAGCAAAAGAAAATAGCGGAATAATAATGATTGCGTATGGCATCAAATTAAATGCCAAATATTTTTTTTTAAACATATTTTTGGTAGAACATGCAAAAAGATAATTCAAAGCTCGAAAAAAAAAACGCTTTAACGAATTAGTTAGCATGAAAAAATAAAGCACAAGAAAATAACGGCGTTAATGTATGGCACCTAATTAAATGTCATATGACAGTTTTTTTATTTAAATGTATTGCTGGAAGAATAGGCAAAAAGATAATTCAAAGCACGAGAAAAACGCTTTAATGAATTAGTACCATTAAACAATAAAGCACAAGAAAATAACGGCCTTAATGTATGGCACCTAATTAAATGTCATATGACAGTTTTTTTTATTTAAATTTATTGCTGGAAGAACAGGCGAAAAGATAATTCAAAGCACGAGAAAAACGCTTTAATGGATTACTAGCATTAAACAATAAAGCACAAGAAAATAACGGTTTAATGTATGGCACCTAATTAAATGTCATATGACCCTTTTTTTATTTAAATGTATTGCTGGAAGAACAGGCAAAAAGATAATTCAAAGCACGATAAAAACGCTTTAATGAATTAGTACCATTAAACAATAAAGCAAAAGAAAATAACGGCCTTAATGTATGGCACCTAATTAAATGTCATATGACACTTTTTTTTATTTAAATTTATTTCTGTAAGAACAGGCAAAAAGATAATTCAAAGCTCGAAAAAAACGCTTTAACGAATTGGAAGCATGAAACAATAATGCAAAAGGAAATATCGGCGTTAATGTATTGCACCTAATTAAATGTCTTTTGGCACTTTTTTTTATTTAAATTTATTGTTGGAAGGACAAGCAAAAAGATAATTGAAAGCATGAAGCATGAGGCTTTAACGAATTAGATAGCATGAAACAACCAACATAAAACTAACGGCATTAAAATGATTGCGTATGGCATCAGAATAAATTTCAAATATTTTTTTTTTATTTAAACATGTTGGTAGAATAGGTAAAAATATAATTGAAAGCTCGAAAAAAAAACGCTTTAATGAATTAGTTAGCATGAAACAGTAAAGCACAAGAAAATAAGGGCGTTAATGTATGGCACCTAATTAAATGTCATATGACCCTTTTTTTTAATTTAAATTTATTGTTTTAAGAACAGGCAAAAAGATAATTCAAAGCATGAAACAAAAGGCTTTAACGAATTAGATAGCATGAAAAAATCAAGCAAAAAAAAAATAACGGCATTAAAATGATTGCGTATGGCATCAAATTAAATGTCAAATTTAAATATATTGTTGGTAGAATAGGCAAAAAGAAAATTGAAAGTTCAAAAAAAAACGCTTTAACGAATTAGCTAGCATGAAATAATAAAGCAAAAGAAAATAACGGCGTTAATGTATGACACCTAATTAAATCTCATACGACCCTTTTTTTATTTAAATTTATTGTTTTAAGAACAAACAAAAAGATAATTCAAAGCACGAGAAAAATGCTTTAATGAATTAGTTAGCATGAAACAAAAAAGCAAAAGAAAATAACGACGTCAATATGTGGTACCTAATTAAGTGTCATATGACCCTTTTTTTAATTTAAATTTACTGTTGGAAGAAAATTCAAAAAGATAATTCAAAGAACCACAAAAACGCTTTAATGAATTACTTTGCATAAAACAAACAAGCAAAAAAAATAACGGCATTAAAATCATTGCGTATGGCATCAAATTAAGTGTCAAATAACAATTTTTCTTATTTAAATATATTGTTGGTAGAACAGTCAAAAAGATAATTTAAAGCACGAAGAGAAAACGCTTTATCGAATTTTTTTGTTATAGATATTTCCATGTAACGTATCATAATGAATTTTTAATATTATAAACATGTAAAATTGTTTTTGATTTAACAGATTTAAATAGTACAATTAAAAATAATTGTCATAAACCAGATTGTACAACATTTATTATATAGATGATAATGATTTTTCAAATTCTGAAATCCATTTTTGTACACAAAAAGAAAAACTGCGACATTTTCATCCGATAACTTAAATTTTTCACTTTAAACAAATCGTATTTGCTAAACAGTTCTTAAACGAAAAATATAAAAATATATCGTGAAAAAGTCGCAATTCTAAATTGACTAATCTCAATTGACATGATTCCAAATTTATAGAAAAGAGACATATACCGAATTCTGCTTTCCAGAAATTTTTGCATTTTCAATTAATATTGCTCGCATTATTCATATTTTCAGGTTATGACAACGTTTTTTGCGATATTTTTTTTTGCAGAGATTTTATTGTATTTAAATTTTTGCAAAGTTGAAAAACCCTTATCAAAATGTGGACAGATTACTCAATTTTTTGGTGAATTCAAAGAACAGAACTTTTTTGATCATATTACCTTAAAAAAAATTGAACAGGTATTGGGATATAGGATTTAGTTAGTTACTCAGATAATATTTTTTAAAACTGCGCTTTTCAAAAAACGGAACGTTTCTGAGAGGCAAAATTTTCATACAGAATTTTCTGCCTTCAAAATAATCTTCCAACAGCATCGTCCAAAATGTATGTTCGAAACCGGTTTTGAATATACCTCAAGCATTTTGTAATTAACATTATTTCGACCAAACAAAACAATGTGCATTTAAGAGAATGGAGCGTATCAAACTCAATACGATCCCGGTATTATAAATAGCAATGAAAGCGCAAAAACAATTCTGGCACAGAACAGCTCGTTAATTGTAATGCAATAGAAATTTGGGTCGATCTGCATCGTATCATGCAGAGCTTTAATGCCCAACAAAACTTATTACTCTATTTAGAGAAAATTTATCTAGAAAACTCTCGAAGCAGATTTAAATTTTTGGCTCGACTGTGTCTACTAATGTCTCTGACATTTTACATATTTTCGATAACCGAAATTCAGTGAATAATATACAAGGACTGACTAATAACAAGGTCGAAAAAGGCTTTTAGATAACACAGGTCTACAATAACTTTGATGATTGAAAGCTGTTTGCTTTTTTGTATATTTTTGAGGGCCATATTTTTACTCTATCATTTTTTATAGCTTTTTATGTTTTTAAATGAATTGATTTTTACGAAACTAAATGTGATCTGGCAACACTGGATAATATCAAATATCTCTGCTAAGCAACAGGTTGGCGCAAAAGCGTCAATACAATGTTGTAATCTACTCATGCACAGTTTGGTTAGTTTTGGTCGTAGTGCTACTTTTTTGCGGTTGTTGTCTTCGTTGTTGCGTCTTTCTAATGTTCGTATAAATATGGAAATAAGATATTGTGTGAACAATTCAAATAACTTTGGTATTTTTTCAAAGAAACTTCTACAGGCTACTGTAATACTTTTTACAAAACTTCTGGATTCCTCCTGCGTTGGTTTTTGCTGAGTCGAACTTGTAAATAACTTGTAAAAAATATATAATAATAAAATAAATAGTAATAAAAATAACTTGTAAATAATAAAATCAAAACGTGTGAAAATGTAGGAGTTCCGTTGAAGAGAATAAACTACCAAGAACATCGGTGGATGCTCTGTGGTGACCTTAAAGTCCTGTGGATACCCATAGGACAACAGGGGGGTTATACAAAATTTACATGCTTTATTTGTGAGTAGGACAGTCGGGCATTGGGCTCGAATATAATGACCCTCTAGAACAAGCCTTACATCTTGTAGCAAAAATGTATTAAGAGACCCAAAAAAGTTTTACTGCCTCCTGTTCATATCAAACTTGGCTTGGTGAAGCAGTTTGTTAAAGCCCTAGACAAAAATGGACAGTGTTTCAAATATTTTCCAGCCATATCTGATGCCGAGATAAACGAAGGTATTTTTGTTAGGCCGCAGATAAGAACTTTATGCAGAGACAAGAATTGGGGAATAAAGATAATGGCAGACTACTGATAGATGTTAAAACTAGATATGCCCTTGAAAACACTTTTTTACTGAATAAAAAAATGAATTATTTTAGAAATATGCCTGTTTTCCTTTATTATTTGCAAAAAAAATATTACGCGATTCAAATAGATGCGTAGAATTTTTGAAATCATCATACGAAAATTATATAAAATCAGTATTCAAAATAAAAACATCTGTCAAAAGTTTAATTTTGCAGACCTGTGTAATTAAGTGCCATGAATAAAACACACATATCTTTAAACTGTGTTTTCAATTTATTTTAAAATTCTTCTATTTTTAATTAATAATAATACATACCTAAACTTAATAATTTTTCCCATATTTCAATTTTTCTAAAATAACCGAAGATGACGTAAAAGATATATGAAACGGTATTTTAATCAGATGCTACTGGGTGTTCAAAATAAAACAATATAGTTGAATAATTATAAATTCAAGGATTCCGATGTACAAAAACCTAAAACTTTTATTAATTAATAATATTTCATATACCTATTTTTAATACTTTGTGATTTATTTCAATAATTATCCTTCTGTCTGTCTAAGACTATTGCTATAACATTAGCTATTTCTTTGGTTTCATGCTAGTGGTAGAATATTGAAAATGGAAAATGCTAAACCGGAATGCTAGAAATGAGGAAAAACAATTAGAAATTTTACTTCAGTAGCTATCAAGAAGCTAGCTTATATGATACATCTCAATCAACCGTTACTTACAATACTGGAAAAAACAAACATCATCCCTTCCCTACACCAAGAACTTCTAGTTTAGACCATGGTTTTGAACAAAGGGCGCAATTTTTTTTATCTAAAACAATGTTTTCCAATGAAACTACATTTCGTCGTAACGATACAGTTAATAGTCATAACATTCATTAATATTCGACAGTTAATTCAGTCAGCTTTGTTAACTCTACATAATTACCGGTGTAAGTCGAAGCAATTGCTTCCGACCTAACAATATTATGTTGGACTAAAACTCAATGACAGGGTGGAAGTACTTTTTCCTATAAGATTCTTGGGTCGGTATACTGAACAGCGAGTTGGATAAATCACTTCGACAACAGTTCTTTCTGCATTGAACTGGCATTCGAACCAGATTCAATGGCATGCGATTACGAAAGCACCTCCATATTATGAGATTACGTTTAGAAAAGGAAGAAACTCAATTCATCTCCTAACTAGCTGAGCACCACTTACAAAGCAATCGATTTAGAGTATTCAGAGTAGAACTATCGCAATATCCCCTTTCTTCTGTGGTGTTGTTCTTTCCAGAGAGTATAGAGAAGGGGTCGAATATGTGCGGATATAAAGGATCTAAAAGTCTGAATGGAGCACCCTGGCCACCAAGGTTCTAGTGCAATGTGAGAATTGAAATTCTTTTTACATATTTCAATATTTGGTAGGAGGTAATCTTTGAACCACTCATCACAAAGTTCTGTGGTTATTGTTCAGTTGCGGTCATCAAAGTCTAGCCCTTTTGTACTAATATTACCATAATCACAGCTAGTCCATGCAAGAGAAATCTTTTTGATAAACTTATAACCCCATCAAAAACCGTTTCAAGAGCAGTTGGAGAACTTTCGCAGTTCTCTTTTGTTCTTCTAAAAATATTTATAGTAACATTTTTATTAAATAACAATTTTCTGTAACGCAATACGTCGTAAAAATCCGAACCGCAAGGCGATGGACCGAGTCCCCGATTCAAGGCCAACAAAAACCGATATAGCCGCTAAAGCGCCGAAGATCGCTTTTATTCTTCAATCCTGCATAATGACTCATTCAATTCCGAATCATTGACGGTCGGTTTCTATTCGGCTGTGTTATTTATGTCGCATATACAGGCCGGCCATAACGGATCCGCACTTTGAGCATTGCATTGAATGTACATGTATGCACAAATGTCAGTCATGCTTGTGAAACAGTTCGAAATCAACAGCTAAAGTTTTCCCGTAAACTGATAGTGGGCAACTATCATTCGATATAGTCTATTATAGGTATGGAGCTGAGTGTTCTAGGCCACTGTGTAATAAACCAATGATGCAGCTGGAATGGGTTGATAAATCACCAAAACGATGTCGAGCGTTATTTTTCCCGCATCATCGAGCATCGATGCCAAAAAAATTAACCGAATATAATAAGATTTAATTGGAATGAAGCTTCACTGAAATAGATAATATGATAACTGAAAGAACTAGACAGATATATGTGAAGATATAAATAAAGTTATTTGTAGAGATACAAAGTCGTTTAAATTAGAAAACTAGTAGCACTTTTTCTACTGATTACAAGTGCGGAAACAGGAAATGGATTTAGGAAAAAATATTATTGCAATATTAACATAAAATTGAAAATAACGGAATGATTAACACATTTCTCTTTTAGACTTGATGGCTATGAGTGGTTTGCGACGTACTCGCAAAACTCAATTTTGATTTTATTGTTTTATTTGGACGTATGAAACATAAGAAAATAGAAAAAAAAACAGAAAAGCCTAATTAATTTATGATTTTCCTATTGAGCGAATTGCCTATAGTACCATTATAGGTACCCTTTAAAACGTCAACGTTTTGGTATCTTTTCTTATAAATTTAGTAATTTAAATAACCCCACAAGTAGAAATAAAGTGGGGTTATATCTGGTGACCTAGGAGGTCAAGGCCAAAATGGCTGTCAAAAATTGCGTCGAAAGTTATGAGCTCCTGCGCTATCTTGTTGGAAATTGAGATTCTGTCTACTTACGAGCTTATATTAACAAAGGAATGACAAAAAAAGTCTCCTCTATGTCAAAAGCACCTGGACTGGTCGAAATTTAAAAGGGCAAAATTTGTGTTTTATAAGAACCCTTTGGACATAGGCTAGAGCCTTTGCCTATGTCTCGAATAGAATTGTCACGATATGTTTCAAAATATTTAAGAACACCAATTTCCCAGTCTTCACTTATAATAAAGTTTTTTCGTCTCCTTTTTGGAAAAACGCTTTTATTATTTCTAAAAATTCTAAAAACAAATTACTATTTGTTAACACATCAGGACAGTTTTTCTTCTAGTTTAATTTTCTATTCGGCAGGACTACCAATATTTTGCACAGCATTTGGGGAACAATTTTTTTTGGGCATTAAATAAAAGAAAATTTCAGTTTTATTTCGCAATCACTCATAGCCATCTAGTCTAAAAGAGAAATGTGATGATAACTGAGTTATTTTCAATTTTAGGCTTTGCTTTTGCTTTTGACCTTTTTTGTTCTATTGGTGATTTACGAAATATATATTCAATTGATTTTCTGTTTTCAGTATCGTAATCAGTAGAAAAAATACTAGTTTGCAAATTTAACTGGCTTTGTATCACTATTCATAACAAAGTTGCCAATGATGAACAATTAATTTATATCAGCCGGTATTAGTGTCATAACACTAATAAAGCTTAGGCTTTAAAGGAACGGGAAGAACCAAAACCAACCTTGGTGAAATAAGTGAAGGGATGCAACAGGTACCGAGTGAAAGATTTTACAAGGGTAAAAATGGCGATCTTGGTATCGCCAGAAAAGAGCAACTTTTATCCATTTTCAGCCAAAATTAGCACGCCCGTCGGGCACAATGGTGCACAGAGACCGACTGCTTTAATCGCGTCTCTGTCGTTTCCTCGTTCACGGCGGCCGTTAGAAAAGAAAGGGAGAACGTGACGTTATACACACAGGTAATTATTGTTTCCCTTTATAGTCACCTGGTCGTTGACCCACCGAGCGTGAGTATATACGGCGCATCACAACAACCACAGCCTTTTTTATATGTTCACGGAGGGTCGTGTGTTTCGTTACCTGGAAGTTTTCTGGAGAACGCACTCGCGGAGAACCGAACAAAACTCGGCTATACGGTGTGTCAGCTTACCTCCAATCACTTGTCAGTTTAACAGAACGATATCGCTGGCGAAGGAGCCATTTCGCAAGCAAGACATCGGAGATATCGACGGTCGATCAGAAGAGGAACCCGATGCCGTGGCCAATCCCGGAAGCGGTCCTATTTTCCGGAAGAACGTTTCGTGGAGAAAAAACTGCGGCCGCGCGACAACGCTTGGAGACCGGCCACCGAAAGATTTCACTTTTTGTATTATTCTCCGCGACTAACGTCTCGAGAGAATGTACGAAGCTTTAAGAATCGCGGCGTTGCCGATCCGTGTTGGTTTCCGATTCATGCGTGGGGCGGGGAAGTAATAATATTAATAAATTGTTTTTATTGATCTTAATTTTACGAATCAGGCACTATCGACGATGTCTGAGAGCAGGTCGACACGATCAATATGTCTAACAACTATGGATGCCAATACAAAAGATTTTTCAGTAATTCACACATCAAAAAAGTTATTTTTAGTGAACGGAGGGTACATTTTAAAATATTCCATAGTGTTGATTAGGAAAATTAAACTAAACTTTTTTAATACAATATAATAATTTTCAAACCAATTTTAAAGAACGATCAAACTGCTTAGTTCTAAAATAGAAGAAGCTTGTTCTCACCAGCCTGTTTAAACAAATGTTATTTCTTTTCTTCTTACAAACACTAAAAAATAACTGAAAAATCAAGGCACACCATTTCACCGTGCTTGATAATTCAAGTTTAGTATTAGTATTAGTATTAGTATTAGTATTCATAGTATGCAACTTCTTGAGTCACTTGTGCCAAATCAAACTCGTGACTAACTGCTAATAAAGTGTTAGCTAAAAATACATATTGACAAAAATGGAGCTGATATTCAGATGATTTTAATAAAATTGCTTTGTATGTTTGAAGTGAACGCTGGAATGCTATGGATATGGAGATGCAAAAAGCGTTAGATATATAACATAAGATTAATATTCCGGGAGAAAAATACATCGAGATATTGAATGACATTCTGGAAATCCAGAACACATATGAAAAGAATTAACATCGCCATTATGTATCTTTTACAGCAACCAATTGTAAGTAATAATAATTAGGGACAAAGACGATAGAGTAGATTTGCTGCATTAAAGAAATAACTAACAAAAACCTGCACTTTTATTTCTAATCACTCTTTCTTTCGGGCATGGGCGTTGAATTTTCGACGATTTTTTGAAGTCCGGCACCATCGCAAGCCTACTCAAGGTGCGACAAAATGCGCAGGCGTCGGGCGGTACAGTTACTCGAGTCAAAGCGGACAGGTTTGCCGGCCACAATGGGCTGAAGGAACAGGTGATGGGTTTTTGCACCGCCGGGAAGTTAGAGCCCAGAAAAAAATCACAAACATCCATTATTACAAAATGGAACAAGTGGTATTTGAATAGATTGCCAATTACTACTTCTACTAAATAAAATTTCTTATTAGTTTTGGGTCTAAAATGTCGGGTTTAATCATTTACGAGCAATCTTTTTTAAATAAATATCGTTATCACTGTAAAGTCTACGGTTTTCGAATGGTTCCGCTCGAAAAAATATTTTTATTATATTAAATTATTATTAATCAATTTAATGTTTTTATTGTTAATTTCCTTTGCAAGCTGTCAGACATTAGATTGATTACACGAATTATATTTTAATTACCCAAGTGGTGTTTACAATCAATTTTCGCGAACAGTATAATAAAAGACGTCATGGTTTAGTTGCGTTATTGTTAATTACCGGAAGTCGATCTTTTATTTCGTTTGTAACTATAAAATAAACTTTTGTGACATGCTTTTTTTATTGGTTTCAATTGTTTGCAATAAAAGTGAACAATTAAAAAAAATAAAAATCTGATTTCGGGGGAAAGCTATGACGAGTTGAAGAAGCAATCTATACTTACTTCGGGATCCACGGTTGACAAAAACCTATGTTCTCAAGGGACACGGGAAGACAGATATTTTATTCTCTGAATTAAGGTACGCTTAATGCTTAATTTTGGTTAACCGCTGACTTGCATACGAGTTTACTAAACTTTAAGCCACACAAATATCTGAAAATTTTATGGGAGATAGAGGGCGCTTTTCAATTTTCGGCCCTTTTGAGAATTTCCCAAAACTTTTTTAATTATGAAAATGTTGGATGTAGTGGCGTACTAAGTACATTTTTTCTACAGTTCTCATAGATGAATACAACTTTCTTATTTTATATGGCTATGCTTCTAAAAAAGGGCCGTGTTGAGCCCTTTTCGGCAAAATAGATTTCTTGATATAAGCGATGAAAAACGGCGGAAAGCGGTCAGTGTCAGTTAAAGGACATACATTTTATTTTTTATTGAATTTTGTGTTCTGTCGCACATCATTTTAGTGGCCGAACTTAAGTTTTTAGTTAATAATAATATGATAAATACATATCCAGAGCGGCACCAACCAGACAAGCGAATATTTAATTCAACCAACTACGGAAATTTCAAAAAGCCAAGGAAAAATCAAAAACATTTAAATAAGGAGCAGGAAATCCGGGAATTCAATATAATTAGAGAAGGGGCACTAGGCTGACGCAACAAATACTAGAAAAAGTAATGTTTTCACTATTTCGAGCGAGAACTGACTGTTTCGGAATATCTAACAGATCTATTCTTACAATACTTATCACTGAAGCACAGAAAATCATCATGCTGTAGTGTATCAGAGTCGGCAGCGGCTGGTTATATGCGAACATGTGTTGTTCAATTTTTGGAAGACACTTGCCATTAATTTTTGGAAGGAATATTTCTATTAGCAATGGTTGCCACGCTCACAACGCACATATTGTAAAGGAATTTTTAAATGAATAGTGTGGATAATGTTGGATTGGAACTAGAGGCCCCATTCTATGGCCTGCGAGATGGTGGGATCTAACTCCTTTGGATTTTTTTATAGGACAGATTGACATATTTAAAGATAGAATTTTCCAAACAAAAGTAGAGTTAAAGGAAGCCACTTGAAAAACGTTTGCTTCCATCAATCCTATAGAGTTAGTGAATAGTTGCCATTCAGTACAAAAATACAAAATTATAATAATAAACTATAAATAAGCAAAACACAATTCATTGTGGTACCTTACCTCTGCTCTTCTCTCTAATAATTTCCACATTAAACATATTAAGCGTTCCATCACAAAACACACTTCACCACAACCTTGAAATAGCAATGAGCCCGACAGCAATCCCACACTTGCTACTGTTATTCTTCCTTACATTCAAAACATCACTGACCACATACCAACATTTCCAAAGAAATATAACGTCAAAAACAGATTTACCACTTGTCCAAAATCTCTCAACATCTTCGGTCCGTCGAAGACAAAATTCCATTTGAGATGCCAGGAGTTTACAGCATTTCATGCATATGCGGCAAAGAATACATTCTAGAGATCGGACGAAAAATATCAACTAGGCTCAAAGAACATGGAAGAGCTTTAAGACTAAGACTAAGAAACAAACCCATCAGCAGATTTTTATTCGATAAAAGTAAAATCATGCATATAATAAATTCTTCTAAAGTCTGTTCATAGATATAAGAAAGTGACTAACTAATACGAATTAAGGAAAGACCCAGGCAAGCTGTAAGAATGAAGTATGGCCGAACCGGTCCGTACTTTGCTTAGAATTTAATTATTTGGGGTTTTGTTACAAATTATTTTTATTACCTACTTAAATTACTGAAAATTATTCACATAATATATCAGTATCACTATCGCTATCATCGCCTGTTCTAATTATTATTTGTTCTTGATTCTTTGCAATATGGATATACGATTGTTCTGCTTTTTCTATGTGTTTAACAGAATTTGCCAAACTTTGTGGAGGGATGTTAAAAACTTCGATTTCTATAAGTGTGAGGACATTGGAGTTAACACGGGGAAAAACATTGTTACGACGAATGGCAGATTTTAGTTGATGCCAAACATGTTCAATGGGATTAAATATACAGTAGATGGTGGAAGCCTTAAAACTGTATGCCCTAGATTTTTTGCATGATTATCACAGACGTCTTCCTTTTGTAAGTTCAAGCTTTGTATAACCTCAATTAATTGCTTTTCTTCGTGAAAGTAAATGTCGTTATTATACATGTAGTTTTGGATGGTTGCTTTTGTGTCATATGAGGAAGGGGGTTTAGTCAACTTTACAATGACGCTATTAGGAGGAATGTTTGGAACTAGTTTGTTTTTAAACGAACTTTCAAATAAATCAGCGGTGGTGTCTTCATGATAATCCAGAGAAGAATCTTTAATATTTCTCGCAGACAGAGAAAGTCCATTTGGAATCCAACCATCTTTAGAGCTAGCATGCAAAATTGTTATTCTTTTACATCTTTTGGATGGCGCGCTTATCAGTTGAGTCAACCCAACCCTTTCCCGGGGTATCATAAGTGTCGAACCAAGTTTCATCTAAGTAAATAATTGGCCTTTGTTGTTCTCTGTAAATCCTAATTTTTTCTAGATATTCCAGTCGCCATTTCCGAATTCTAAAAGATTCCATTAAAACTTGCCTATTGTCAATTTTTTTAAATCTAAAACCCATGTGTTAAATACACTTCCATAAGGTAGTTCTGCCACATTTAACACCGGTTTCATCTTTGCAAGCCTCCTAATTAAGATATCTAATGTAGGCACGCTTAGTTCCTCGTATAACTGGTAAATTTTACGCCGTATTACATCTGGATCACTTTCATCTACAGTCGAGAAAATGTCAGCATCGTTTCTTTTTTTCCTCGCTGAAATGGGATTATTCAAAATTTTCCATACAGTTGATGTTTTGAATTTTCGCCAATGTGGCCGTTTCTTCTAAAGATGCTTGCTTGCTGGCACTACGTTCAATGAGAGTCAAATAAACATTGTTTATAACTTCCTCAGTCTCAATAGAATAGTGTTTTCTACATTGAGATCAACTAGACTCGCATATATTTTGCATAATTCGCACGCGATTCAACACATGCTGTATTACACACGAAATAAGAATGATAATAATGATAAACTTAAACTAAGTAGTATACCAAACCAAAGAATATTAAACACAGGTAAGTATAAAATTATTTACTATTACGGACCACAATTTTACCTGAATTTAAATTCCGAAACTTTAGGTATTAATCTTGTTGCATTGTATGTTAATGACCACCCTTGGATAATCCCATTCAAAAGCAATTGGTCACTTTCTTATAT